TGTGTGTCTGTGTGTATAAATATATATACTTACATATATATTTATATATATATATATATATATATATATATATCGTGTGTGTTTGTAGAAATAGATCTAAAGATCTATGTTTCTGGATGTAAATTAAAAATTTATTCGAACCCAAAAAAGGGAAATTCAACATTTGTTATACAAGTTCATATATTTTTATTATATGTATATAATAATTCAGATACTCAAAATAAAGATATTCTAATTACAAACAAATAAATTCGTAGCAAAATAAATTAGATCTAGATCCCTCTGGTGCAAACACTTGATTCAAAAAGGTCAAGAGTCGATCCCAGAAGCTTCAAATCCAAATACATAAATAAATATATTTGTATTTTTATATAGATCTAATAATAACATATAAATAAATTTCTAAAAATCATAAAATATAATTATCAAAAATAATTCTAGAATACTTACATCCTTTATAGTAAATCGGAAGAAAAAGTCATGCTTTGTAAAGGATGTAATTGATTTTTACATTGATTCAAACCTGAACCAAAAAACATCCAAAAAATCGAGGATGAAAGAATACAATAGCAAATAGCCAAACGCACAAACGGGAAGATAATATGGATTAGAAGATAGAGAGGGGTGCGTCGCGCGACAAGGAAGAAGTAACGACGCGAGAAGAAGACGAAGAAAATGCGGCGGAAGAAGCAAATGATATGTAGGGTTGGGTGTGTGGTTTATATTTTAAAATGAATGGGCTGATTTTCTGGGCCGATTGACGAGCAGCATTTGGTCCGGAAGTGGAATCACCCGGACTGTTGGACTCTTTTGGGCAGCTAGACATTTATGGCGCTATTGTTTAGTAATTAAAATCAAACATATTTTGACAATGTTTTACTCCCTCAGTCCTAAAATTAAGTTCTTATTTAACTTTTTACTGTCTGCTATATGGCACTTTGACCATTAATATCTCCAATTAATTAATATATTAGTTTTATTTTCTTGAATGTAACATATTTTAAAACTATGATTCAAATTGAATTTGTTGATACTAAATTATTATAAAAATTCAATATATTTTTTCGTAATATACCGTCAAGGTTTAAAAACTTTAAATGCTAAAGTCAAAATGGGAAATTAATTTTAGGACGAAGTGAGTATAAATTAAGTTTACTAGACCACACACACACACACACACACACATATATATATATGTGTGTGTGTGTGTATGATATTCAAATAAGTGTGATATTTGTATATAGTAATTAAATTATTCAGTTAACCTTAATTGTGAAATAATTTGGTCTTTTAAACAAATCTCGTGCGATTAAAAAAAATTGTAAAATTTTTATACATATTTAGTAACGAATATATATTTAATACTACCTCCGTCTCACAAAGATTTCCACGTTATGACTAAAGTTGAAATAAGAAAAGAATACTTTTGTATTCACTTTCAAAAAATATCCTTGATGTAATGGGTAAATGTAGTATGTGATGTGTAGATTATTAGAAAAAAAATACGATATGATAGGTAGAGTTTAAAAAGGTAAGGGATAAAAGTGGTTTTTAATATAATTGGGAAAAATATTTAATATGCAATTTTTTGAAACATGTAAATTTTTTTGGGACAGAGGGAGTATATTTTTTCTACTTCATTACATTATATAATTGCAATGTATGATTAATCTTTGAATACATAATAGTTTACATTGTACATAATGCTTTACATTTATTCTTTTTATATAAACGCGAGAAAAATTGCAACGTGTATATCGTTTCTTAGTAATAATTTTACCAAAAATCGCACATTTTTAAATATTTTTAATCTTTGTATACATAATAGTTTACGTTTTTTCTTTTTATGTCAATAATAGAATACTTATTGACATTTATTCTTTTTATGTCAATAATAGAATTCCACGACTCGGGAAGCATAAAGAGAATTTGTACATCAAGTCGGGACCGAAAAAATGATTCTTCTTGCAATCCTTTAAGTGACTTATCAAATGGTACATCACATCTATTTTAAATTCATTATTTACTATAATATTTTTAGAACATTACCGGTACAGCTGTATATATAAGTAAAATATATTATTTTTTTATAGCTCAAGACTTTTCAATAAAGCCGGCGATCTCATTTAGTCAAGCTCCTGACACCGGCAGCTTCTCTTCAGTACTCTTTACAAATAACGGGGATATAAACGTCAACAAGGAAAATAATGGAGGTATCTTAAATGTAACATGTACCGTACCGATTTTCCAATATATATAAATATTCATTAATTAACACTTCATATAAATAGTATATCTAAGCTTTTTACATATGATCAAAGGTTTGTATTTAAGTTGTCACATAGGAATTGAATATTATTCACTATGTTAATTTCTAGATTCCATCATTTCCGAATCTTGGGCATTTGACCAACCTTACGCTGATCACACACCAACATCTCCCGAACTAATTTTGACGCCGGATCATCCAATCATTGATGATAGTTTCTCTATAATTGACGACATGGAAAGAGGAAATGCAAGAGATATGAATATTGAGCATGGGAGCTCTTCTTATTGGGATATTGGTGATCCTATTTTCATGTGCATACATTGTACATCATATTTTTGGTTCGAAGAGCGAATAGTAAGCATTTCTAATAAAAAGAATATAAAATATTCTTCATGTTGCAAACATGGGAAAATTAAACTGGCTACCGTTGGACATCCCCCGCGCCTACTTGATTACATGCTCAATGGTGATAGTAAAGAAAGCAAACACTTTCAGAAAAATATTCGATCATATAATTGTATGTTTTCCTTCACTTCCTTAGCTTGGGTGCACAACTCAAAAGAGATGAGAATACGGGAAGAGCTCCCCCTTTATTCAAAATAGGTGGCCAAAACTATCACAGGATTGGGGGTCTACTACCTAACCATGGGCTTCGTCCATCTTTTGCACAACTCTATATTTACGATACTCAGCAGGAGGACTTCAACCGAATAAGAGCAATACGGTATGTATT